CTGGCGTGACGTTAACTCTGAAACGTAATGGAGGCGATGGAAATGAGCGGCATTGCGTGCTGTTTCCCGGCTGGGAGCTGATGAGTGAGGGCGGAGCCTGGGAAGGGTATTACCTTTCCCCTAATGTAGCTCTGATTTCTCACTGCTTCAGGCAGTTTTCTTTCTCTCTAGCCCCTTAGGGGTGGTACCACAATCAAAAGAAGGAATTCTTCTATACGGGTTTTTCAGCCAACCTCCTTAGCTGTGATTCAGGAAAAATAGTTGTTCCACTTGCATGTTAAGCCCCCACCAATCTGATGATGGACAGGTGGGAGGGATTGGTTACAGCAACAGTGCTGGCATTTACAAACTGAGTGCAAGGGTTGCTGCTTATTTAGTAAATAAATACAGCTCAGGCAATGCAGAATGTCAGCGAGCCGCAGCACAAGGCTCCTGCTAAAGCTGGGATTCTGCCACAACCAGGGAGCGTGGAGCTGCCAGCAAGTGGGGATGAGGCAGGTCACTCAGGTGCTGACCCTGCAAGACACGGCCATGAATGATGCCGTTGCAATTGCCTCTGCAATCCCCTTTCTTGGCTTCCTCCCTTTTCCTGCACTAACTTGTCATTTCACAGGTTATTTCTTTCCTGGGTGCACGCATCTGGGCTGTTAATCTCATCTCTATCAGAAAGTGGTAGTTCTTCACATTGTTACACATCTGGCAGTGAAGGAAGTTATACTGAGACCTCCCCCCCTGCAGTGTGAGGGATTTCCAGAGGACTGTGACACACCACTGGGTCCTCTTCCCCTCTCTGCATGCCTAGTTTCTGCAGGCAGAAAAGCATCTCTAGCTTGTTCCTTACCAGGCATGTTAGGTTAGAGAGTGCCATCAATAAATACCGAGGTTCAGATGAGTTTCTCTCTCCCCTCCCTGGCCAGGGCACTGTAAAGCAAGGGATAGCAATGCTAGTGACCGCAGCAGAGAGGTGGTCAGGCTGCCCATATATATATATATATGTGTGCTTTTATACAAGGTAACCTGCAAAACAGAGAAATGGGCTTGTGTCTGTGTACTTTCTAAGGACATGTAAAATAGCCTGAGGCTTTTGCTGTCCTGTTAGTTTGGGTTTAGGATTGGCTTGTTTATAGTTTGACTTCCTAAAATCATTGTGAATGCAGCACGACGTGTATCTGTCTGCCTGGCCATCTGGTTGCATCACCGCAGAGTTTGAACCTGTTGCCCAGTTTTGGCTCAGCCTGGGGTGGAGGTTTCCAGGAAGTTTAAACTCCACGAAAGTGCAGCCTTTGGGGTGGGCATAGCCTCGCACAGGCAGCGGGCAGGACCCAGAGGTGTGGAGGTGTAGGGTTTGCTTTTGTGGTACGTGAGCGTTACTGAGCCCCAGTGAGCCCACCCAGGCAGCTCAGCTCCAGCCTCCCCTCACTCTGCTCCTGAGGAGACTGTTCCTTTATACGAGGCACATCCAAACAGCCCCGGCTAGCTCTCCTGCTGCAGGGCTGGGAGACGTGATGTGTTCATCACAGGCCTTGCACAAACCCCTTGAATGAGTGCTGCAGCCATACCTGCCTGGTCAGAGTGCAGCTACTGCGGCAGTCAGTCTAGGCTTTTGACCTCAGTCAGAGTTAAAAATGCACATGTAAACCCAACATCAACTGACATCCCTTCCCAGAGAGGCTGGCATTGGAGTTTCTTCTCCTACTTAACCTGTGTGGTCTTCTCATCTGAAAAAGAATCGCAAAGGCCCTTTGTACACCAGTGGACTTGGGTGTGCTCCTGAGCCCCCAGGTCCGCATGCACATGCGTGCCACAGCAGCTGCACCCTGAACCCATGCTACAGTGAGATCTGGGCATACATCAGCCTTTTCTCTGCTTTTACACCTTGGTTTCTTCGAGTAAAAGCCAGAGCCTGCCTTGGGTCAGGAGCCAGAACCAGTGAGCTCAGGCCAAGTCATGAGCAGGATCGTCAGATGCAGCACACTCGGGAAGGCCATGGCAGACTCCTACTGCTCAGTACGGACACGGCCAAAGGCAGCCGCAGAGGGGCATGAGTACAAAAGTGC